CCCATCTCATTCAGTTACAAACATCTACACCGTTTGTGGCWGCAGCTCTTTCATTATGACCGCCGAGCTCTTCATGTGGTGCAGAGCAAACCCCGCGAGGCGTCTCCTGCTCGCGCTCGTGTGTCACCAGCTCTGCTCTTACAGCAACCGCTGACCAGGAAATCGCAACTCGCTTCTTACTCCTGACCTACTTCTCTCCACAAACCTTCCAGCTGGGGTTGCCCTCACTTGTTTTTCAGGGAGAGACCTACCCTAAATCTCTCCTCTCTCTTGTAATTACTTTGACGCAGGGTTTTATGGCTGATGCTCCCGAACACTCGCCAGCTTTACCCTAAGAGTTGTCCTAATGGGATAGATAATGAAGTAGCTAATTTGGAAAATACACAGCTGGCTAATTAAGGAAGTCTCACCCATGGGTCATGAGGTTTTGCAGCCGGAGATCCCAGCTGCAAACCACACACCACTCAGGGAGGCATTGCTTGTATGTGGGGTTTGTTTCCTGTTAATGGCATCATTCTTAGAGTGCAGCTGATTGTAAATATGAGCCTGGTTATTTTTTGGGTGCAGGCTTTCACTGCCAGCAATCTATTAATTTGGGGMTTGRAGCTGGWTRGTCTTTGAGGTCCCTTCTCACATAAACCAWCCTGTGATTCTGTGAATCAGAGAACACGRCAAACAAATTTATTCTTGTAAACAGCACAGTCATATCAGCACCGAGAGCAATTTCACAGCCTTTGCTAAAGGCTTTGCTCACTTTATTCCCTTTGCAGCCATRGAGCCAGACCCTGGGTGCCCAGCTGGGCATCTCTGGCTCTGAGATGTGGCTTGGAGCAGCTTCCAGGGGCTGGGCTGTTTTACCAGGAGGAGAAAACACGGCTGGAGGTGTAGTAGCAATGCCATGATGTCTCCTTGTAACCTGCTGGGCTGAGCAGCCTCCGGTCACAGGTTGGTGACTGAGCCTTGTGGCCTTTCCTATTCCTTTTCTTTTCTGATTTCCTCTCACTGACATCCCACCTGTGTGCCTTGCCCTCCCAACACAAATAATCTTATAATATCATAATCTCCTTTGGTCTCCATCCTATTCTTCCTTTTATTGYACTGATATTATTTTTAACTTTGTGCTCAAGAAGAATGAGGGGGCTGATTCTGCATTTTTTACAGCACAGTTACAAGGCACGGACAAAAAAAATCCCAAACCTGCTTAAAATGTCTGTGATTGTCTGGTACAACTTGGCAGAGCMAGAGCTGTTTGTGGGGATGGAACTTGTAGTGGTTCTGGCTTTCAGGAGCTGAGAAGATGCCAGCCAGACTCAGCACCAGAAACAAACTACACTTTCTGCCTTTGCTGCTYACAAASAGGAGTTTCAAGGGTACGACTTWGATGGYCYTTGTGGGTCCCTTCCARYTCAGGATATCCTAGGATTAAAAACATTTTTCATCTTTTCTAATTTCCCCCAATACTTCCAGGGCTAGATAGTGGGAGCAGGTTCAAGCCGTCAGCTCTTCAGAGAAATCCCTTCTTGCTTTTGGTGTAACTTTTTATTTATTCTTCCTTCAGAAAAGTGGCACAGCTTTTCTACCTTTTTTTTTCTATAACTTCAACAAAATATTAAAAATACGTTTGAAGCTATTTGGGCTCATGGACTGGCAAAATGCTGTTTTCTGGGCACAGCTTTCTATGAGTGAGTAAAATCCATACAAACCATCATGTTTTGTCTGCATTCTTAGTAAGCACAATATATTTGTATTAAGATTGAGGTTCCCTGTTCTGTTAAATAAGTAGAATTGCTTCATCTCCTCTCTAACTTGACCTCATGATTTTTCAGGGTGGCTTTTTTTTATTTCAGGCTTCTGAAACTCATGTTCTTGGCCYCATTACAGCTGAATCTGCAGCATCTTTTACAGGCAGCTGGTTTCTGTCCAGATYGCTTTGATAAGTGGCAACGATGAGCGTGATTATTTGCAAAAATCCAATCTCAATCTTCCCTTTCTGGAAGATTTCTGGGTTTTACTCACAGGCTGCCAAGCAGTCTGGTTGCCAAGGCACTGCTGCTTAGATTTTGCAAGCTGACACAAAATTGATATGGGGAGCAATGCTGGACTGGAAACTTTTYTGTTGGGAGAGGGTTTTGCAGCAATTCCACCTCCCTCCCTCTAATGACAGTATCATTTAAGAGCATCAAATTAGCAGAAATTTGCACTGAAGTTCTTGAAAACAAGGAAAAACAATCTTTGCCTGTTGAACCCCAAACTGATGAGAGCTGTGCATGGGTGAAAGAAGAGCTCTGCTCTCTTTGGTGATTGTGATCATTATTGACTGTAGAAAAATGAGGACACTGATGAGGTGGCCCTTGTCAGGGTGCATTGGTTTGGAATTATTCTGCACCTTTCCAAGTGAACACAGCAAGGTGAAGAAAAATCTCTTGGCTCAAGGTGTCAGCAATTAGGAGAGAACTTGCAGCAGGAAAGAACAGTTTTCCTGCCCATGAATCTGCTGATTAATTAATCCATTAARTGCTTCTGCAGRAGCATGTACAACACCCAAGCAGCCTGTGAATGTGAGCACAAAGTTGGCCAAATAAATAAAGAATGGTTCTGTCCTAAGGCACAGATTTAGCTGGGTTGGTAAATGGTTCAACAAAAATCATGTTGGTGGAAGGGAGACTGGATTATCTTCATGAAGGTCAGGTTGGAGCAACCTGGGATAGTGGAAGGTGTCCCTGCCCATTGCAGGGGTTGGAATTAAATGACCTTTAAGGTCCTCCCAACCCAACCCATTCCATGATGCTGCTGCTGATCTGTGAGCTYTGTCAGCAGAAAGTTGTTGGCTTTTCAATGCTCCAGCTGTGTCATCTCTTTCTGACTTGCTTCTGAGTTTTTCCACCTCAGCACAGCTCTCTCAGCATTTTCCAGCCCCCCACCACAAATGTGCCAACTCCAGCTAGTGGCACAAGACCTCCAAGAAAGAAAGAGTCTGGAGTTCTGTGGTTTTAACTGTTAGAAGCTACTTGGGCTAATTGCAGATAATTTGACAAAAAGTGGTAGGACATTGAGAGATTATTGAAAGGACAAGGAAGTCAGTTCTGTTTCAGTATTCCTGGACTGATATTTATATAAATATTTTAAAACCTCAAAAGATGAATATTCCTTGCTTTTTTTTGTTTATTTTTATTTTTGTTTGTTTGTGAATTTTAGTTTTTTGTTTGTTTTAATTTTTTTTTATAAGTTCATTCACATGCTTAATACTTGTGGGACAGTCAGCTGAGTTAAACTTCAGAAATTGCAGGAGACCATAAGGAAGAATAGCTGGAGATAAGCTCAAACTAGGTAAATTGGGGTAAATATAAGGGTAGGTAAGCTATATTTACTAGGTAAAATAGGTAAATATAAGGGCTCCTAGGTTCTTATGTTTGGGCAAAATTACATCAGTATTTGAGAATAACTGAAGGTGTGGACAGGAATTCATTGTTGTGATTGCAGATACTGCCATCAGTTTGAGTTAATCAATGTTTCCTTGGTCCAGAGTTTCTCTGCCAGGCTGAGGAATGGTGTGAAGCCCGTGGGTTTGGGTTACAGGTTGATCCACCTGGAGAGCGTTAGGGAGGGTTTGGGTTCATGGGAACAGCTGGAGGGAATAACCCCTGGCAGCAAAATTTGGGATGATCAGAGCTGGCTCTGGAGAAGATACTTTCACCTGAGAGGACCTTCCCCTCACCAGGGTCCTGCACCCCTGAGCTGTGCATCTCTGCACGTTCTGTATTTGCTGTGGCATTCGCCAGTGGCACTTTGCCATCGCCTGAGCGYGGCCACACCTCCCTGAGACAGCAGCAAACCAAACATCCGCGTCTTCCCCAGGCAGCCTTGCCCTCTGAAACATGGAACATGCTCATCAGAGCACTTTTAACCCAAGTGAGCTTTAAATAAACCCACCTACTGCGCCAGACACCACCCACGCAAACCCCATCCGACTGCGGCTGAGCTGCTGTGTCAGGGTGCCCCACATTTGAAGCGCTGAAAACGTGCTGGAAGGACACGAACGCAGAGAAAAATCACGATTACAATCAGCAAGATGTGGTTAATTGCCTCAGTCACCCATCTGACTCTCTCATGAGCTTCCCCAGGTGGTGTCTCTGCTCCACGGACTCGCAGATAATGTTGGAGCAAAGGTGAAACTCAGCAGTGGAAATGCACTCGTTGTTTTAGGAGGAGTTTCTTGGAGTTTCTTTCCCCCCCAAAGAAGCATTTGAAGTGTTGTGTTGAACCCACCTTTACAAACCCTTTTCCAATCAGATAATCAGGTACCTGATCATAACTGGGTAGCTACCCAGGAGACATTTTTCTTTGCTTGTCTGTCTTTAATGTGGATCTCTTGGGTGCTACTTTATTAATAATTTTCCTCCAGATATCTTAGCCTCTCTAAYGGTAAAAKGGTGTTTTCCCTAATMTYTTTTTCCATGGKCTTTACRTTCTATTGCTGCAGAARTAGATGTTTTCAAGGGAATTTGAGRTTTTAGCATCACGTAAAYCTCTTYTATKGTCACAATTCAGKGATTTCTTGCCTTACCAAGAAGAATTCTTAAGAAAGAAAGGAGAATACCAAAGAGTTTTTGACTGATTTTTTTTTTTATTACACAAAGATAAATAAACATCACCTTAATATTAAAAAAATATATTAGGATAATACATTATTACTATAATTTCCACCAGCATAAATAGATTTACATAAATAGACATTTCAAAGGRTAAACTAAAGATGGGTTAGGGTCACCATTACTTCTCAGCCCAGAAAGGTGCGAGAAGGCGTCTAGATTCTGAATTTGTGGAGTTTAAGATTTCTGGGGAAAACATTAAATTTTTAAACTGAGATGCCTAATTTTCAATGTACTGTGATGTATTCCAGCTAATTTTTACAGCTTGATTCATCTTTTCAGAGGCTGGATCAGACCCCTCCATCTCCACGCGAGGAAATTCTCCGTGGCTCCTGCCACCTCCGTCTCCCTTCACGCCTGGTGCTGGAGCAAAGGGGTGACACAGGTACAGCCCACGGTGATGATTTTCTTCTCCAGCCTGTAGGATTGCTGGCAGCCCCTCTGCTCCCTGCGGAGCACCAGGATCTCCTGYCTGATGGGCACGGAGTTGAGGCTGTGGTCCAGCTGCCCCTCSGGAGTCACGCACCGCGAGTGGCGGCACTCGGCGTCCGCGATCGCCCGCGGGAAGCGGTCGTGGTCCTCGTCGATCCTTGGGAAGGAATCAGGAAAGGGAATATTTGAGCCCAAAGGCACGATAGTCAGGATGGCTATGAGCTCCCAGCTCAGGAACCTGGGGTGTGTTGCCTATGGAGGGATAGCAGATCCTCCAAAACRGTTGGTTTTTCAGAAAAAAAAGGGAGCAACTAACTAAATACTGGGTATTTCTAAATGCATGGCTGCATGCAATTGCCTTTGCAAAGAACTTACTTCAAACAGGCACTGACTTTAAAAGACTGATTAGAAATACTTGAGCTTCTCAACACAACTCCCACTAACAGACCCAAAAACCTTCAGTTCCTCCCCAAAACATGAAACATTGATGCTGATATTATTAAGCCACCACTGAATTTGATGCAATATTAACCCTCTGAGCTATTTTTTCATGAAGTTTTAGGTAAAGAATGCTTTTGAAGATAATGCTTGCATACAAATAAATTAATTAAGTTTAAACAGCAATTTGCTTTGCCTTCTCTATGTTGCCTACGCCATGTGTTTACTTTGTGCTGCCTTCTGCAATGGTTCTCTTTCAAAGAGGATTTTAGGGACTGTGGATACCCTCATATTCCCAAAATCTCTCAACTGTGAAGCATTGAAAATGGAGATGAAGGCATTATTCTTGGCCAGAGTATCCGGTGTTTTTGCAGGCCAAAAGGACATGGAGCCATACCTGTAATCCCATGGAGCCAGAGAGCGGCTGCTGACATCTGGAGTGCCCTGGGTGTCCTGGTTCGTGCTGGTGATGCTGATGTTTACTCTCACAGTTTGGGGGAATTTTGAGTCTTTTTGGGTCAGGCATCCAGCAGATGCTTGCTTGAAGATGCTCCCTGGCTTGAGCCCAGGCTTGATCACCTTCCCGTGGGCAGACAGCAAGGCCAGCAACACAAGGAGCAGGGGTCTGAGCTGAAGAAAATTGGGTTTTAGGACAAAAAAAATGCATTTAGGACACAAGACAGGTGGGAAATTTATCTACAGTCAGCCTAACTGGTAGTTAAACCCTGTATTGAAAGATAGAGTAATTACGAAAAAATGTGCCGATGTCACATCCACTTTTGCTCTCATTAACTGATTCTCACAGTGCTGACAGGTGCATGCACACCCAATTGTAATTTGATGATTAAGAAATGTTAAATTATAGAAAATAATATAATACAGATGAGAGCAGAAAGGATAGAACAGAAAAAATACACTCTAAAGCTGAGTTTTTAATGTATTTCTTGCCTCAGAATACATTGTGGTAGTCCATGTCACTGATGCACACGCTCATTGCTGCCCCATGAGCACTCTCACATTTTAGTTATTTCTAATTATTAATGGTTTGAACAAGTATTTAAAAAGTTAAATATATCCCTATTCCATCCATTGCAATTTAAATACATCTCTGTCAAACTGAGGGGGAAATAAACCCAGAAATCCAGTTCTTACCAGAGAAGCACTAAGAGTTGGAGACATCGTCTCTTTCTTCTCTTACTTCTGATGCTTGTGCTGGGCTCTGCTGAGCTGGAGATGTTTGGGCACATTTGCTGCTGGACCTTTTATAAGGGCTCCTGGGCTGTGCTAAATAATGTGGAGTAGGTGTTTTTTCCCCCAGCCTTCACTGTGGTTTCTGACCATAACCTAAATTAAGAAATGTATGTGTATAGGTTCCATTAACAGAGGTGGAATACAGGGTATATCTTAGGTCTGTAGATGACGTCCTTCAGCATGTCACTCAAACGGTGATGAAACCCAGATGATTTCAGAAAAAAACATAAACGTGGCAAATTTGTGGGTGCAAAATATTCAATTTTAAATCAGGATGCCATTGGTATCAAGCCCAAATGTAGCTGGCACAGGTTTGGATCTGTTCTCTCCTAGGCCAGCCTGATGTCTTTCCATCCCAAATTGGGCAGATGTTGGATATCTGGCCACCACTGAATTGCTCTCTTATTCTTCCCATGGATTATAATTTTTCAGGAAATCTGAGGAGCAATGTCCCTGCTCAAGCTCAATTCTTCTCTGATTTGGGCTATTTTATTCATGGTTACACCTTGGTTGTGATATCTCAGTGTTGATCAGAATGCCTGGTGACAGTGAGTTCCTAAAAGTCACTCATTCTTCACGTAGGAAAAAAAATAATGAACTTTGTTTTGAGCTTGCCACCTTTTCATTTTGCTTTCATTTCCCTTCTCTCGTGCTACGAGACTGTTTTTATCCTTAGGAAAAGGRTTTGGGAAGTGTGATGGTGTGGTTAAACTTCCAGTTTCTAAGTTAGGGACAGGACAGAGGGGTTCCAGAGAAACTCTGCAAAGGCTGGGAGTTGCAAAATGACACACAGGCACAGCTTGCCCAGACAAGCTCTAAAGGAAGAAAATACATTCTCTCCAGCAAGAAAACAAAGTAAATGTCCTCCTACTTGTAAATAATAATAATAATAATAATAATAATAATAATAATAATAATAATAATAATAATAATAATAATAATAATAATAATAATAATAATATCTTACTTAACAGAAGCATCATAAACTTTAATGATGGTGATTTTAAAAATATGCAAAGTATTTGGAGATATCTGCCAGTTCTATTTTAATTTATAGCAAGCTCAGCCAGGACTCCAGAGCTCCAGCAGTTGAATGGATGTAGTGGCTGCCCCTGGATCCCTGGAAGTGTCCAAGACCAGGTTGGATGGGGCTTGGAACAACCTGGGACAGTGGGTGGTTGAAATTAGATGATCTTCAAGGTCCCTTCCAACTCAAACCATTCTGTGGTTGTAGGATTCTGTAACTTCGAGTCTGTTCTCTAATATTTCTTTTATTAGGAAAAGCTCCCATAATTTTGCTCTGACTGAGGGTCATGAATAGCTCAGATGTGCCCCATAAAGTCACTCAACAGCCTTGAGCCGCTGCTCAGAGCTTTTCTCAGGTCTAATTTTGGTGGAGTTTTTTTCTCATAAAAACAGTGTGGAGAAGATTCAGGTTTTTTTACACTTGCTCAATATTTGTGCGTAAATCCAAATTTTACTCACCTTGTGCCATCCAAAGGAGGATGTRGAGAATTTAGCTGGCGGTTTCTGGGATACCCATGACCTACATCCGCTCATTCGAAAGATGCTGACGCTTCAGAAAATTAAATGTATATTTCAGTTTCCTTCTTCAAGTTAGAGGTGCACAGGTTAAAGGAAATGCTCCCCTCAGAAGGGGTTTTCTCCAATGCCATTTACTGAAATATCCTTTCAAAGTGGGTCAGTTAAATTGCCAATTATAGAAACAAAAAAATGKTTTCAAAAGCCTGCAAGGTAGCGGAAGGTCAGACTCAACCAGTCTGACCCTAAATGCGTCAGTGGTTTGGGTTACCTAGGTGCTCAAAAGGTGAATAGTTAAACATTCAAATATGGCTGATGCACCACAACTTTGCAATGGTGAAAAAAAAATAAAATATTTCCATGGTTTATATTGAGACATGAACGCATTTTTTGGCAGTTGTCATACGTGAGATGTGAAGSTGTGAGGAGAAAATGAAATGCCTTTAACAGGTCTGAATTATGCAAAGGAAATTCTCACATTTCTGATTTTGAGATTTTTCCAAGTTCCAAATAGTTATTTTGTGATTCTTAATGCTCTGAAAAAACAAACAAACAAACAAACAAAAAACTAATATGATTTTCTCCATGAGAATGGAATTTACCCTATGGGATTTTTTTTATTCTGACATGTAGTTCTGCCTTAGTTAGAGATCTGGACACTGGTGTAAAATGTGAATACTTTTCACATTTTTCAAAATCACCATCATTAAAGTTTATGACACTTCTGCAAAAATAAGACGTTTTTTAAAATTTACAGGTAGGAAGACTTTATTTTTCTTGCTTGAGATAATGTATTTTCTTCCTTTTGAACATATATTCTTATAAATCCTTACAAACACAGCAGCACTCCTCTTCCTCCAAAAAAGCATTCCATAACCCACCCTGCACTGTGCAGGTAATTTGTAGGGTTAGACTGAAACTGAGTTTGGTGGTGATCTGTGACAAACTCAGGAAAGGGACACTTGTGGAGCATTGAGAAGTCAGTGTTATGTGACAAAAATCCAGTCTTTAGCTGGTGCTCCACCATCCACTGCTTTCCAACTAAATTAAATTCAGAAAACTCATTTTCTTACCAGTAAGTCCCTGTATCAAAGAGCTTAAACTCAGAGTAGCCAGGTAGGTCTGATAAGGCAGCCTGCAGAAATAAACTCATTTTTGCTGCAGCCATTTGTCTGCTCCCAGGTAAAATCCAAAAATCTTCGTCATTCATCACAGAATCATAAAATCATGTAATCATGGAGTAGTTTGAWKTGGAAAGGATCTTTAARTGTCATGTAGTMCAAYACYCTGCAAGGAGCAGCATCTTCCACTACAAGAGCTTGTTCAGAGCCCCATGCTACCTGGGTCTTGTATGTTTCCAGAATTCTCTCTTTTTAAGAAGGGAATTTCCTACTTTTCTGATTTTTCTTGCAAAGCAATCACTCCTGGCCACAACATTTTGTGTGCAAGAAAGTGTCAGAATTCAAAAGTTTCACAGAATAAGTGACTCAGAGTGGTTTTGGTGAGAGTTGTAAAAGCACCAGTAGGATCCTAATTTTTGAGTCCTTTCACCTTGCTGAGTCTTGATTTGACTTTTTAATTTATTTTTGTTTAAATAAGTAATGGAAATTCATCACTTTTCCAATCATATGCAAATTCTGACCGCAGTGCCGTGAAGTTTCCAGAAATATCCCAGGCAGAGATTTCAGAGAATAACCTCTGCTGGAGGTTTCCTCCTCTRAGATGTGGCGTTGTGAAGGTGGGATGGGGACCTCGGGTGGGTGACAGAAGCCTCGTGTCCCATTTTAACCTGAAAGACGCCTCTTAACCAGACCTGGCACTTCCATTCTGAYGCTGTGGATACAAGGGAAAAGTGAATGGGTGTGTGCCAGGCTGAATGGACCATCCCTGACCTTTTTTTTCCTGCCTTTTATGAGCCCAGAAAATGACYGCTGGTCCTTTATTTCAACCAATTCTGAATGGTTGTGGCCTTTGAGTACTTACAGSGGGCTTATAAAAGAGAGACAGAAACTTTTTACAAAGGCAGACAGTGATGGGAMAAAKGGTTTTAAACWGACAGAGGGCAGGTTTAGATTAGATATGAGGARGAAATAAAGTTGTAAAWGYTCCTGGGTGCTAAAAGGYTCCTAAATGTCTGTCTCACCCTGTCTCATTTCCCTTCATCACTGCTAATCTGTTTTTTTACTCTGATTAATTGAAAAAACCCCACASTCTTCCATTGCATTTTTATTTAGSAAACAATTACAAGATAACCAGGATCAATGATTACTAAATTCAAGAAATAATTCTTAGAAACTTGGTAGAAGAGGTTTTGAAGCAGCACAGTTTTCTCACATGGATTGCAATAACCATAATTTAGTTGTTGCTTCCCTGTTACTCTTTTGAGAATTCAGAAATGTCAGATTTCTCTACCCCAGGAGCTTTGGGAAGTGGTGATGGATTATGGGCAATGGTGGAAATGTTTGTGCTGGACAGTGGGAATATCCAAAATATAAAAGTATTTCTTTGTATTTTCATTCCAGTAGAAAGATTGTTTAAATATCAGGACTGACACATGCAACTATGAGCAAACTCCATTTTCCCTTTAATCAGTTAAGGAATTGCTAAAAGCTCTTCCACAATAGTAGCTGAATTTACTCTCCCTCCTTTTCATCTCTCTTTTTATTTTTTTTTTTATTGCAAAAATTGATATTCTGAAATGAAATGTGCCTACACTTCCATCACAGAGAGAAATCCTCCTGCTGCTTCCCACCTACGGCTTCCAAGTCGGCAAAACCTTCAAACCACCCTTGTAGAGACACACCCATGCTATTTTCACCTCTGCTGCATCTCCTGATGCTCAGGTGGACATCAGCAGTGGGGGAGACATCACAGAATTTCTGTGGTGCACGATGTCTGATGAGTGATAAGCAGCTATGAGAAACACGAAGGCAAAGTACCCAAATGTCTCATCATCCCAGCCTGAAGTYGGCTTGCAAAGGATTCAAGCAGGGTTTTACCATATAAAGTTGCATCAGGCAAAGTTAATCAGGGGGGGATGCTAATCAGAATGTTAATCAGGTGATGAGGTGATTGCTTGCCTGCCTTGTTTGTATTTTTCATTTCCAGCGAAGGAAGGGCTGGCAGTGGCTTTCTGCCTCTGTGAGAGTGACCTTTGCTCCTCCAGGGGAGGAAAAATGAGGTTTTAAACTGGATTAGACGTTCTCATGCCCTGAGAGAACCAGGATGTGGCTGGTGGAAGAGCAGGTAAATGGTGGTGGGTCTTGATCCTTCTCAGGAAATCATTTTTAAGAGAGAGGGGAGAACAGTGATGCTCTTGGGGTTCTAAGCAGTCACCAGCAGCGATCCTCCTTGATAATGGTGCCCAAAATCTTTGTGTGGTCAAT